ATAAGTCTTTGATATGTATTCAAGAACTAATAATAAGGTATGAAGTAAGTAATGTCTTAGTCTATATGCCAATAAACTATATCATAGTTAAGCGAATTACCCTCGTCGGACATCTTTAAGTATATAACTATAATTGAGTTATATATTATATTTCGATACTACTCTTTATACTTACATGAGTATATTTATAAAAATAATTATATCTATATATAATAAATATTATATATAACATTTAATAATGAGTTGTGAGATGTTCTTGAGTGTAGCTTTTTTGGTGTATGTTTTGAGTAATTCAGTTAACAATATTATTATGTATGTGTATTATATAAGCATATAATGTATAAATAAATAAATAAGTGTAGTGTGTTAGTATGTGTATGTTGATGTGTAGGGACTTGATGGTTGTGTAGTGTAGTGTCTAGTGATTAGTGAATATACCTAGTATGTAGTGTAGTTAATGATTATGATCAATCAATATATACATATAACACTATATACTACTAATATATCACAATCATTATATATATACTTATATATAATTCCTACTATCCTATATCACCATACTACATCACTATACTATATATATTTATGCCATAACAATAATATATACCAAATACACCAGATTTATTGTTAATAGACCATTACTCAAAAAAACATACACACCCAAAAAAGTACTAAGACACAACTTTAACTAATTTATTTCTGAATTTTAAACCAAGCAAAAACATGGAACTTAAAGTCGACGGGACGTACAGTTGGCATGACATGCATTTTGCCCTTTGTTCTGAACATCAAAGCTTATGCATTTCTGTTACTTTCGTCGACGCAACCACGAAATGTATGGCTCCGGACATGTGCCTTTCCACATAATGTTTCTTCAACATATGATGTTATTGCCAATTCGAATTGTACAAATTGATTAATATCCCCAATCATCAATTTTTCAATGAAGTTTTTTCTTTACGACAAGGGAAATGAATATCTAAAATCGCACGAAATTGCACTGGAAATGAAGTCAGTCGCACAGCAAATGCAGAGGGAAGTGTCCGAATATGCCGGCGTCTCTGCAACTGTTCAATAGCGTCACCTGAAAACCCAATAGCAATGCATGCTGCCGTACACCGAGCAGTTCTAACCAGCAATCCATAATGGGATGGATGATACCTTTTTCTAAGCGAGTGTCCTGACGTAAAGTTGTTCTATCCAATATCATCGCTATTATTATCACATTCATTATTATTCATATCCTAATATTTGTATACTTTAAAGTAAAATCATTTAATATAGAGATCACGAAATATATATATCGACAAATCTACGAAATAAAAGAACATTCGATGATACGCTGGATAAAAAAAGCCTTCCGTGAATAACTCGACTGAACACCGGATGTTTATGTTTTGCTGTTGGAGGTGGTGCGCGGACTGGATACAGCCGGCCGGATACTCAAAACAGTTTACAATGTTGTGTATCCCGCCTCGCATAGGAGCTGTTACCATGTCGCAGTGTCCGAGGAGGATACTCGAAATAAAAATAGCCCATGTTTATGACCCACATTGTGAAGGACCATGTAATTTATACAACTGCATGGATTATGTTTCTTTTAGTTAATGCGCGTGGTACCGAGACAGACCGAGTCAAGGGGGGGATATATATAATATACATAACTGCGGTGTAATCTTTATAACGTAATCAGGGAAAACACATTATTGCGACCAGGAACTTGGAAATATACAGAAAAGAATATGCATTTTGAATGTGATTTCGTCTTGTAATTTTTGAGATATCATTTATGATGTTTTTTTTATTATTTATTTCTTATTATCTTCCTTTTGAGTGGAAGTTGTGCATTTGATTTCAACACCGGCGAATTGGTTTTATAGTTACATCATACACACATACACACATACACATACACATACACACACATACACACACATACACACGCGCACACACACACACACACACACACACACACACACACGCACACGCACACGCACACGCACACGCACACGCACACACACACACACACACACACACACACACACACACACACACACACACACACACACACACACACACACACACTCACTCACTCACGAGAACACACACATATAAACACGTACACACACATACAGGCACACACACACACACACACACACACACACACACACACACACACACACACACACACACACACACACACACACACACACACACACACACACACATACACACACACACACACACACACACACACACACACACACACACACACACACACACACACACACACACACACACACACACTAACACGAACACGAACACAAGTACACACACATATACATACACACACACACACACACACGCACGCACGCACACACACACACACACACACACACACACACACACACACACACACACACACACACACACACACACACACACACACACACACACACACACACACACACACACACACACACACACACACACATACCTACACAGCCACACACACTCGCACGTGCACAGACACGCGCCCAGCGTACGCACGCACATACATCTAAACTGCATTCACTCAATAGCGCCTGAACAACCTCTCGTATGCGTTGCTGTTCGTGTTTTTCATTATAAGAAGCTCTCTGATCTTAAGAAAAGGCGGCGTAAAAGCACTGTGGGGTGGGATTATCTTCGCCCGCAGGTGTATTTTTCGCCGTAAATTAAATCATGTCATAAAAGTAATCCACTTTATGAATCAACACTTATCGAAGCCTGATAATACCTGGGCGTCATCTCTTCCCCCAGAGGTGTATCCATTCACCTGCTGTGATTGGTTACCTTTTCCCGTGTAGTGATTGGCTACAGCGCGATGACGTCATGAATGAAGAGAGTGTCACATTCGAAGCGAGATTAATTTGGATTTGAATGGTTAAATGTCTGCATGGTAAAGCTTGCGAAGTTTATGAAATTTAAGGAAAACGATAATTAAAACAAGTAAGCAAATATTATTTTGAGGCAGAATACACCGATAGTCTCTGAGGTGGATCCTTGCGTTCGTATATACACTAAAATACTTCATTTTTCATAACATGAGAAATCGAAGGGAAAAAATATAGAAAAAAAAAATTGTTCGATGCATTTCATATAGCTTCTGAATTAAGACATACACATATTACAAAAATCTAAATTATTCCGCATTCGGGAAAAATTATGACGTCACATCCTTCCTACGTCATAGATACATATTTTCCTTTACGGTCAAATGGCGTTAATTGCTCAAACACCAGTACAGTTCTGCCGGTGTATACAATTTCCGGATATTTATGAAATTAGAAAATGCGTGGGAAGGAAATCCTCAATTCACAATTTATGCGAGTGTGGAGGGAAAAATATACATTTGTTCGATAAAACGTTGATGAAATGAGCATTCTCTGAGGAAAAATGAACTGTGAGATACACTAGACTATTTGATGGAATAGAAAAATAGCATTCAGAGCATGATTAGTTAGACAGTTGAAAGATATTTAACAAATTTGATTTTATAATATCGTAATAACCTTTCAAGTAGATTATTTACTTACAGGTAAATAAAGACAAACGTTTATTCCAAAGACTCCATAACGGATGCAGTCACCTTATGTGTGTAATGGGATACGAATGAAAAGCTTAAACCTTGCCAAAAATCATGATGACGTTACATAATTTTCCTTTGCCAAATATATACCGGATTGGATACCATGGACTCCTCCAACAGTAACAATATTAAAAATATATAAAGAAAGGAAATTAATGAAAGTTGTTATGAAGATCTTAATACATTTATCAAGAAACGAAACAGTGTCTATATCTTTAATTTTTACCTGGAACAATCCAAGAGATAAAATAACTTTGACACGAGTGAAGAATCATAAGAATACCAACATTCCCAATTCACATGATTTTAAAACAAGCAGAATTCTCCTCTTGGTAGACAAAGAAATGAGAGATGGACTTTTTGGTGGACCTGTTTTTTTCATGAGCTATTAGCCTTCACTCTCAAAACATTATCTTTTCCAACAATAAAATATAAGTGCTATTTTTTCGAAAGTACATTTGATAAAAACAAAGAATCATTCTACTGGCACGTTGATAAGCATCACTCATTATAACAACAGAACTGATAACCAAATATAACCAATTAACTTGTTGAATTTGAACTTGATATGAAATATTTAAATTCCAATGAATAAGCGCATGGTTTGATAAATATATATATATATATATATATATATATATATATATATATATATATATATATATATATATATATATATATATAAATCATGCAACTAAATGGCGTATTGCGTCTTATATTTTCCTAGTCCTTGGCTTTCGTATTCAAGAGTTACCCCTAAAATATTGTCAATTTTCTGTAATAACAAACAGCAACAGGTGAGTGCTATACGAATAAAAAAAATAGTCACTGTCTCTATCCTCGCCTGTGTGTGATGGTAACTTATCAGATAGATTTATATAAAGAAATGAAATGATAATGATAAATTACTAAAAATGTTATTACACATGGAGAATTGTATCAATGGATATTAATAGATTTTGTGTCATCACATATAATAGAGTGCGTGATGCTATTCATTAAGATTTCGATTGGTAATTCAATACGCACTTGTATACATGGGTGCAAGTGAAAAGGAATGTAGACATGGGTGGGAGTATGTAGCTGTTAAGAGTTATTACAACTGTGGGTATGGTATGGACATGTTGGTATCATGTTACCAGAGACACGCAAGTTATGTATCTATTCTTGCTCATGTTCCAGTGGGTTACACCCATGAGGGGTAGTTGCCAGAAATATTGGTAGAAGATTATTTACGTGTATATCTAGAACTACGTTATTTCCACCATACACTGAAGGATATGTAAGGGAAAGAATAAATATTAGTATTAAAGAGTCGTTTTCGTTTTTAAGATACTCCAACATGGATAATGATATACTATTGAACAATAACACTTCACCATAATATTTCACTTGCCAAGGTGGTTTCCTTCCGCTTCGTTCATAGTTTAATTTTTGCTTCATGACACAAGTGGTGAATCATGTTCTTGCTCCGTGAGGTTAATAAGGGACAAGTGTTCAGCGTTCTGTTGTGTCAAGCAGTGAAATACCAAACCCAGTGGTCGAATTAAGTTATATCTCAAAGAGTTTTGGGATATGCATTGTGCTGATAAGGCCGTTACTGAAGATTTATGGACCTGTAGGGTGACGTAATAGTTTATCAAATATGACGCAAAGTGATAGACGTATTTTGCGACGTGAGTGAACGTACTTATTTATCGTCCTTTTTCCGACGTCCGTGTGACCAGATCCTAAGATAACACACGTAAGTTGAAGATGTAAGTCTGCTGATATCTGTGGATACTAAATATATAGTAAATTTGTATACCAGCCAAGGATTGTGATAATACGCTGCGGTACGATAACTTTCACATTATCCGCATTTTATTAGTGGTTTTGTTGAACTTAGAGCTGGCACTATTTCTGAAACGGTCAGCAGGCATACCACAACATGAAGGAACCTGAACACTGGTAAGAATAAATAATGTGCTATCGTAGTCTACATCAAACTCACGTAGAAAAAGTGAGCTTCATCGACAGAAAGCGTTTTTATTTATTTATTTATAGATATGGCAGTTAGATTCCCTTAACTAGCGTGACTGCAGTGTGTTCTATTTTGTGAAGACCTAGGAAGCCTGGGCAAAGATCCGAGGTAGGAGTTGAATTCTAAGATGAGAGGAGAGCCCTTGCATTCAAAACCAATATACAACCTTTTAATTTATCTGCGTCAAGTTCTACAGATCAGTGCAGACATTGGTATGTTTGCCTACACCATTTTTAGTAAGATAGGATAATGTTCTCAAATGTCTTTCCATAAGTTATATTAAGTGATGAATTTGGGGCATTTACTATGCTGATTGTTTCTCTGAGAAATGGACAAGTTAGCAGTAATATGAAAGTCAAGACATTTGTGTAGTTTTTTTTTACATTTCCTCAGGAAGTGTCATAGATAATGTATGCAACCACTTCAGTATTTAGACTAACACTGTGCAGCAAAGTAATTTTCTGGGTTGTTATACCAACACCGTCAGCAATAACCTGCAAGTCTATGTAATATGTTGCAAATAAAATATGGAAGCCTCTGCCTCTCACAGTAATACATGCAAAGATTTTCATTGTAAGGTATGTGGAGTTATAGGATCAAATAACTTGGTATGAGCTTGATGTAATGTGAAGTCTTTTATCATTTTATAAAATCAAATTCTGTAACAGCTTGTAGCTTTTTAATATAGAATGCCTAACTCAAAAGCTTATTGCACTTTTTTTTTCCTTTCTACCTAAACTTTATTGACTTGTCAGTTCTTCCAAGAGATTGTCATAGTGGTTTTGGATGATTCTGTGTTTTCATCATGGTGATCAACACAAATTTGTACAATCTTCTGTAAATCATCTTTTACTCATTCAAAGAATGGAAATATTTCCAATCTAGTATTGGTAATCAATGACTGCAAAGAAAATCAGATTTTCTTTTATTTAATAAAAATAAAGTAATAGATATTGAATATAATAATCTCAACATAAGAGTGTAAAATATGTAATAAATAAATTCAAAAAGGGAAATAAGTAGCATAATTGTATAACAAATTTTAATATTCATTACCTAAATTTCATATGTAAAACAGAGTGCCATATGTAATACATGTTTGGCAAAAAAAAAAAAAAAACATAAGTATTATAAAAAAGGGTTTATTCAAATACAACTCAATTCCATAAAGAATGATGGCACAAATGAATTATTACCCAAATTCTGTCATGAACAATTCATGATTTTTTTCCCCCCTTTTAGTAACCATACTCCCTCATTCATGAATTTGTTAAGGCTTATTAATATAAAGATACAAAAAAAATCAGATGAATAATTACAGATCTAGAGTACAAGGAGACAATATCAAATAAAGAATCAGAGATCTAGAGTATAGCCTGCCGGCCATTAATGTCAAAACAACAGCGATCATACAGGACGGGTCCCCAACCAGATCTCAGTGTAAACGACACTGTTATTATGAGATTGATGTGTGAAAAGAGAGAGACAGAAAAAAATGTAAATATATGAGACATCAGTAATATCAAGAAGGTACATAAAATAAATTACAATAGTGAAATGGTAAATAGATATATATATAACTTAATGCATAATATCAGATCATTATCTATGAATGATGACCAAAGAAAGAGATCTTATTTTATTTGTCATAGAGTAATATCAAAACTGGTAAAAATCGAAAATTGGTTAATTTTCAGAGGTCCAGGAATAGGGTTAAAGTATAAGAAAGGCTATAATTCTTTAACAGAATTCAAAATCATAAGAAATTACAAATGAAATAAATGCAAATGCACTACAAAACCATAGCACGCACTCGTACTAGATTGTTCCCCCGTAGCTGGTCAATAAAACATTTGATTTTACACTTATTGCATGGCCGTATAAAATCCAGCACCATAACTATCTTCATGACATATACTTAAAAATAAAGTTGCACAAACCAGCTATATCTACATTAATGAATAATAATAATAATAATAATAATAATAATAATAATAATAATAATAAAAACTTTTACCAATTACACTGCGGAAGACTATTAAGGAACACGAGCCTATTGCACTGATAACTGAACACAGTGTATCCCCTTTATAATTATGATAAAAACCCACAACTAATATGTGAGCTGATTGTCTCCTAGTGGTGTTCATAATATATATATCACAAGCCTCATTTTATGACATAGCATCATATACTTGATTGATACAACTAAAAATATACATCTCTGTATACAATTCCAGTTTGGTGACTGTTCAACAAAAGAAGAATACATATTTAATTTGCTTGTTTTCTTGAAGGTGTTGTTTTTATTAAATGTCTTGAAGTTTTAATCTAATATTAAGACTACTAATTGGTTAACTAACTAATTTTTCTATCCAATTATTGACTAATTGCAAGTATCCCATATACCTGTTCTCGTGAATCTATTGCACTTCAGTTACAATCTTTTAAAAATCACAGATTCTTTCGTATCTACTTCCAGCTACATACTTTTATATTTTCTATGAATATAATATATAATTAAATCTTCATTTTGAATGTTAAAGGAAACATTAAAAGATTTTTCCATACAGTAAAAAGTTATTTTTTGTTTTCTTTAAATCTATATATATTTTTTCTTTTTAGTTATTATCTTTTAATGCTTCACCACTTATTGTTTATCAAACTTTATCAGTTGATAAAGTCCTAACAGATTTCTAAAAGAAATGTTTGCCTACTAATTCTTTAGATAAAAACCTACATCATTCTTTATTTTATGCTTAACAATTTCGCATACAATGTTAAGAATGATTTTTTTTTTATCACACTATATCCTAACAGTATAAAAAGGCATTGTTCATTACAAATAAAGTTATATGTTACAAATCCATACTAACAAGAGAAGTGTAGAGTAACAATAGCATCAGTACTTCATTTATGTTTTGCTAATATTATGATTTGCATGTTGTACTTGTCAGGTTAATTTTAACAAAATTTAAATCAGAAATTACGGCAAAAAAGGAGCTTTTTTTTTTTTTTTTTTTACTTGTGTGATTATGAAGACTGCATTTACTTCACACTAATCAAATAGCATCAGGTTAAACCTATGAATGAATAATTAAACATACTATTTATGCATCTATAACTACATGCTTAGTAACATTTTTTTTTTTTTTAGATCAAAATCCTACCTAAGGAAAACTTCAGTCACTCTCAACATAAATTAAAACATCTAAGGAAACATAAATAAAGATCTTTTTTCACTTCAATTATAAGGTTTTCAATAAATGAGAAATTCATTAATGATAAAATTCAAGTGAGCCAAATTGAGCACATCACATATCACATTTTTCTTGTGTGCTTAAATTCTACATTAAACCATATTTCTAGATGCCTTGCAAAAGCAGTCATTCATAAACTGTTCTCTCTCCCATTCAGGTCTTATATGTAAAAAAAAAATAAAATAAAAAAAATAATAATAATAATAATATAAAAAAAAAAAAAATTATAATACACAGCCATGAGAAAGACAATATATCTGTATTCGAGACAGTTAACCCTCGTCTCACCTTCATATATCACTTATCTCGTGTATATATCACATCCTTTTCATGTGTGTCTACATCTTAAATTAATCCAAGTGTTTAGCTCCTTCACAAAAGTAAGTAATTTATAAACTGAGCCATCTCTTATTCAGTCCTTGCACTTGGAAAAAATATGTGTAATCATGAGAAAGACAAATGTACACAAAGCCCTTCACCTCTTACAGTTACTAGTATTCAAGACTATTAGACTCTTGTCCTGTCTTCCTCCTTTTCCCTTCATACTTCTTTTTGTTCACAAAACTCTCAATCCTCTGCAGGGGCTGTATCAAGCTGGGGTCTGAATCGTACACCTGCAATTGGAGGGAGAATTCTGATTAGTATTCGTGTTCATCAAATGCAGAAAAAGACATGAATGGGAATGAAGAACTACTTAGCACAATATATGCATTTAAATACAACCCTTGCATACTAAAGTTATTCAATTTTTTTTTGTACTTTTTCTCTAGTATCAACACTTTGATTTGAATATTAATATAATTAGCTAATACTATTAATATTGCATGAGTTTCATCTTTAAAAAGTTTTATCACATGGACAATACCTGCAGGAACTTCTTTACGTCGTTGATCTTGGACAGAGTCTCCTTTGTGGAAGGGAAAGAGAGCTGTCTTTTAATGGAATGGCGAGATTCGCTTTCAAGACCCTCGGCCTCTTCTCCCTTCAGTTCTATGTGGCCCGTCTGGCACTTCTCTATCACAGCATCACATGATTTGCTCGTGTGCAACTGAGAGCCGGCTTCCCCCTCCTCGCTCATTGCAATATCAGCATCACCGTTTTCACTGCTGTTCAGATCTGGGTTTTCTTTCGGATGGTCGACCGTATCAAAGGCAGGCGCTCCCGGGAAAATTGGTGGGCACACAGGTACTGATATGACTTCTTGATCCCTGTTATAGGAAGAAAATTATTGTTATCTACTATGCCATATCTAATTTATGTTATTTTTAAATTTTCTTAACTATCGTCCAAAGAGAAAAGCTGTAATATACATATTTTATCATAACTTAATGGCTGAAACCAATGTCATAGGATACCACTTTATTCACTGACGCAAAAGCTCTGGTCATTTTGTCCTTCTGATTTTTTTGTGATAAAAATCTGTTATCAATATCATTATCATTATTACTTTCATAATTATAACTATTAAAAATGTCATTATCATTACTACCTTTTCTTTCTTACCATTATTTCCATAAGCATCATCATTATTATCATTAACTTCTTTATACTGAAAACTATAGCAATGTGATTATGTAATAAAACTTTCAAAAGATGAAATAATCAGGTCGGTCTCAAAACAAAATTACCATTATATTGAACATTTTGGCCTAATGGTTCCATAGATATATAGAGATAGACAAACAGATAAATATGTATAAATATTAGTCCAAATAAAAATATAATAAGAAGTAGTATATAGAGCATGGAGGAAGACTGCTGTGTCGCCTATTTTTTTTGGTATGTATTACATGTGACCCAATGCCAAGAAAGAGAAAATAATGGTTAACTCATTCAAGACAGAATTTTCCTAAATTGGGAAGTGGGTAATGATGCCGTCTAATTTGGTATTCGGCGGTACTGTGGGTCCTGTTTTCATCCCGATTAATAAAGAGCAAATTACAAAATGTTCCAAGTTTATGAAGCAACATAAGTTATCCTAAATTGAAATCTCTATTTCTGGGACATCTAACAGGAAATATTCCATTTTAAGAAAAACACTAAAGATTTCTTGTAGTAAAAAAAATAAAATAAATAATAATGTAAGGATAATAGGAATGATTTGTATAATCCTTATTACCATCAACATCATCATCTTCCTCACATCACAACAAGTGAATTCTGTTTACTTACTCGGTAAAAACATTTTCTTGTGATTCCGATGGATCAGGTGTCGTTCCCCTTGATCCCTGTACCTGTTCGCTGAAAGATCGGTTAAAGGCTTCGTTGTGGAGAAAATGGCTTGACTGAATGTAGGCAGTTGGGTCTGGTGGTAGACTGCTACGCCTGTTTCCGCTGAGCCGACGGACTCTTGGATGCATAGCCATGTTCTCATGGCCATATAAGGGTTCCAATTCGTCAAGACTCCTCTCAGAGCTATTACTGGCACCGCTCCAGTTCCGGTGTCTGATCCTGTTGCGTTCATGTGCGTGTATAAAGAGTCGTTCGGGTGTGCCTCCCTTGTATAAACCTGTTGGCCTCATGGCTGTTGAACAAGGTACTGGTGAGGGGGTTCCTGCAGACTCCATGAGAACATCGGACAATGGCTGCATGCACAATTCGCCTCTGAAGCGAATGGAGAAGAAAAAAGATCTTTTAAGTTCCTGTAACCAAAAAGTTTTACTTACACTAAACATAATGAAAACTCAGTTAATTCATGAACATGAGCTGTTCTTTCCAGTACCACTATTTCTACTATTATTAATATAGTCTTAGAGGCATCTTACTTACGTAAATACCAGATATTTCAGAGAAAAATTGTCTGATGAAAGCCTTACTTAGAAGCGGGTATTGCTATTCAAATGGAAAATCAGCACATCACCTTCAATTGAAAAGCAGTCTTCCGTGTAAGCATTAAAAGAAAAAAATACATAATAAACACTAAAGCATATTTAGTACAGTAACAACTACTAGCCTTTATCACTAATATTGCTAACAACACTAAAATCAAAACCTAAGAAATATTAAAACACTGAAAATCAACATATAAACACTTAACAATTACAGACATGACAAAAGACATCTCTTAAGAAAGTTTTTCGTCCTAATACCCATGTCCATGCTTACTTTCAATAAACAGGAAACATTCTTGGTGTGTTTTGGTTGTCGTAAATTTGTGAATGTTGTGTGCTTCACCAACAGACTCCAATATGAGCCCCTGAGCCAGAGAGACTCCCATCCTACTATCCATTTCATATCCCTTGGGTCCCCTGGTATTCTATGTAAGCCTTTCTGGATGCCCAATGCTCAATTTACCTTGACTCTATCATTTCATTTATCTTCAACTGCATTAAATTAACATCTTGCTTGGAGACTATAAGTCCTATTGAAGATGATTAGTTTTTCCCAAAAATTAAAACCAAATTACTTTTTTAATTTGAGATATTTTATTAACAGTAACTATCCATATCTCAAATATGCATGAATTGTGAGAATCAGTAATCAGCAAAAGTAAAGAAGAGTTAGCAAAATATACTCAATTTTTGAAATGGAAAACCTGAATGCACTATAGACAGCTGGATAGTTAAACGTACTGTCGCCCAAGCACATTCCAGTTGAATACAAAATCCCTCCTGGCTACAGCATTTTCTTGGCTGTCTGGTAAATGAGTTTCAGTACATATACTTAAGTAATAAACAGAATTCACTGTGACAAATGCTGAAAAAAGTATGAATAAAATAGAATATTTGCAACTGTGCAAGAGACATTTTAAAGCATTTTGCTAAGATATAATCAAAATGCATCAAATACATCTCTTACGCTTAGATTTTTTTTTTTTTTTAACAGACTCAACTGAGGAGATATCTTTGATAGTGTATTTTGACCCTCATTTCAATGGTTACCTTCACAGAAACAACTTATTAGCAAGTATAATAATATTAGACATAAACAAAAACGTACAAACAGAAGCAAACGTAACAGACATTAAGAGACAACAAATCAAATACTAATATATAGAAACACAAAGATTAACTTTAGAAAAAAAGAAAGAAAGAAAAAAAGCTCTTAACACTTTTATTAAGGGAAAATCACATAATATTCACTCACAAAGCAAATAATCAAAATTTTACATACAAATTATCTGGTCTCTGTGGGTTGAAGTAGAAGTGTCGGTCGAAGGCTCGCTGGACGAATTCACACACCTGCTTGCTCCCATCATCTGAATAATTCTGACGAACTCGCCTTGATACCTGTTTGCAAACACAGAATATTCTTTAGAGCATGTTTCTATTATACCTACATTGGGTTAAGTAGGCTTTTACATAATAAATTGTAAGCCTTCTTAAATATCAGCAATATCAATTAAAAATATTAAAACCAAAACATTAGCACAAAGCCTAATTTCATATCCACTTCCAATTAAATAAAGCCCTTTTTTTCTTGGTAAAACAACCGAACAGAATTTTGAGCTGAAAATTACACGCTTTGAAGCGTAATAACTCACCATCTTCATCAGAGACTCCAACTCCATTTTATGCGCATGTTTCATAAAGACCTGACATATTGCTTCCATCAGCCAAGACCCTCGCTCAGGATGACGGAAGGATACAAACCCTATACAAAGGGGGGGGGGGGGGGGGAGATTGGGTGAATGGGTGGATCTTTTAATTGCAAAGCTGAATCTTAAATGGATATGATGATGAAAATGACAACAATGACATGACAGTGACAATAACGATAATGATGATGATAATGATGATATTGTTAACAGTAATGATAACATTATGATAAAAATAGTAATAAACATAATTTAGTATAATTCATAATAAAGATGCAAACAAGAAATATTGCACATAGGGTCTTTGAACAGCATGTAACAGAAAAAACAACTCTGTGCTTCTCTATAGAAGCGGAAAAGCAGTATCAATCCTAGTCTACTGATAATAATGATAAGAAGTATGACAGACATAACCAATACACTTTAATCAGAATACCACAAATTGATTTACAACAAACATTCACATCACTTACCTTCAACTGTAGAAAATGCAATATACATATCAGTGTAAGTCGGGTCCTTTTCAACAATAGCTTCGCTAACAAATGATGCATCCATTTCTAAATTTTGCTGTCGTACATTTGACACCAGCTGTGGACCTGCCGCCACTCCTACGTCTGGCGCTGCACCCCTGTTGCAATTAGGACTAAAATACATCAATGAGGAAATATTATATACATCTATCCTCTTCACCTCTCAGTTCACCCATTAACACTGCTAACATGCTAAGAACCAGTTTTGATCCTTGTATACGAAACATATACTCCCTAGGTTTTGCATACAGAACAGGGAGACAGAGCAAACTGTTTTCACCCCAGCAATGCTGTGGGGTGAACCTGGAAGTGAAGGGGACCAACTTTAAATGTTCCAGCACTTTTCATTCCAGGACCATAAAAGATCACCTGTTCGACTGGAACACCTTAAGTAATACAATTCAGGAATACTCCCTTGACTATCAGCCGGTTTGTTAAAATTGTGGGAGGCCCAACCCAATGAATTTTCTTAAATACAGACGCAGAAATAAATGTATATAAGTCTATATATCTGATAGATATACATTTAAGTATCTATTTGCCCAGTTGATATGCATGTCTAGACTGATAAATATGCATTTATTTCTTTATTTATGCATGGCAAGTATACGAATATCATCTGGGTCTGGCCTCCCACAATTCTAACAAACCGGCCGTATGTCACTCCGCACCTTCTAAATTTCTAATGCATTACAGTCTACCAATAGAACTTTGCTTGGAGACCATAATTGCAGATAAATATAAGTAAAATAGGCTAGGGACTGCATCAAACTTTTCAATGCAAATCATGGCTATCATAAATCTACGAATCAAAATTCTGTTCTGTTTCTTTGTGTGCATGATCAATGTGGAAAATGGGGTTTGTGATTCATTTGGTTAAGTTACTACTTTATTATTATTTTTTTTTATTATAGTTACTTTTTAAACAGGTGAGTTCAATACAGTTATTTTTACTACTTCAGTCTGGGGCTGCATGTGAAAATGGACGGAAGATTTTTGCCTATGAAGATGTATATCAATTAAAGGACTGATGCACTTTAATTCTATTTTTTTTCTTGTTTCAGATTTCATAAAAACCTAAAAATGGTTAGCATGAATCAAGAAACATGTGTACGACCGTTTAGGATGCACACCTTAGAGCTGGCTGCCCAAGCATGGCAAGTATCACTGAAAACCAGCATTTGGCTTCGGCTCATCATGGCAAGCGTAGATGCACACTAACCACAATGGGTTAATACATAATTGTTACTCTCCTTATCATCTTAATTTTGTATAAATTACTCATTTGGAACAGCAGCCACCTTGTCAACTTGCTAGACCCATAAACAGATTCTGTTCTTCACTTTTCTATATAAATACACATTTTTAATGTCTATTTTAAAGAACTTAAATCTTTGTAAATTACCAAATTTTCCTGTTTTTGCTATAAGCCTCTCTTGCTTTAGAAAATCCTACAGCAAATGCTATACGTCACAGTTCTTAGATTGAGAAACTGGTCATAGAAATAGCACAACATGGAAAAGTCTTTCACATTACATAAATAGTATACTAAAAAGTCGTCAATCTCATACCAACCAATAACAAGCAACAGAAATTATTCAGCCTTCATAGGAGTTAATACAATGATAACATACCTACAATACTGGAAGATAAAGATCTTGGGTTTGCCCTTCAAAGCAGGACACTCTCTGTTACTAAATCTTTCGACCACTTCATTCACACTTAAATAAAGGTTGTCTGAAGTGAAAAAGGACTTCTCGTCTCTGCCGTGGCTCATTATGATTACGATGCAAGAGTCGACAGAGTTTAGTTCTTCATTAGATCTAAATTCTCGTATAGCTTTGATGGTCTCCTGGAATAAAAAAAAGATGTGTGAATTTGTATAAAATGTACTAATTTTGCTCCACATAAACCAACGCTGTGTAAAAAAGGTATTTTATCATCAATAAAATGACCATTCCAGAGTGGATTCTCAAAATACTCAGCATATATCTATTCAATAATAATATTTTTGATATAGATTTACATGTAAAGGAATTGGTATTCTTTTCTCAAACAGAAAATTTACGAGTAGTTCCTGATTAGCCGAGGTAATGCAGAGGGCCCTATATTACTCTCTATAAAACAGTCGATTCTTCCACCTTGGATCCAATACTTACTGTACCATCCCATACTTTCAAAAAATTATAAAACCATTTTTGGACTTTCTTTACAATTACTGATGATGAGGCAAAACACATTTCTTTATGATTTAGAATTCCCAAAAATATGTATCCTTCTGTAGAAATTGTGCAGGTACTTGCAGCCCATCCATGGGGGGGTTACTAAAAGTATGAAATCTACTTGCAAAATGAACAACAAAAAGATCGCTCTGTTTAATTTCCCAAAAGATGCAATTAAAAAAGAAAAGAAAAGAAAAGAAAAATATGCCAGTATCAAGGAAACAAAATTAACTTACATATTTTGTCATATTGATATGTTGCTTTGGTATCTTGTATCCCATTTGGGTAAAGAGAAGTGAAAGATTTTTCACATCAATTTCTGATCCCCTGCGGCAGGGATGTGCCCCATCTCGGAAGTCCTTGTAATTTGCGAGGAAGACCAAGCCACGAGGTTTGCTCAAATTCTTGTACAACTGCAAAGACATATATACATACATGTGCAGCATATGATAAAAATAACATGTTTGTGTATTTTCACAAAAATATATATATGAATATATAAATATATGTATAAATATACATATATATACATGTATTACACACACACACACACACGCTCGCACACACAAACACACACACACACACACACACACACACACACACACACACACACACACACACACACACACACACACACGCACACACACACGCACACACACACACACACACACGCACACACACACGCACACACACACACACACACACACACACGCACACACACACGCACACACACACACACACACACACACACACACACACACACACACACACACACACACACACACACACAGACACAGACACACACACACAAATATATGTATACGTATACAAATATGTATATCTGTATATATGTATATATCCCACACTTAATAGAAATAAAAATATACTAACATCTGCCTCGTCGAGATGGGCTCCACCAACCTCCGTGCTCTGAACTACTACTATTCTCAGAGGTTCATCGGGGTTGTTGTTTTCCTCGCAGCTGTCGTAGCCGTAAGAGCCAGGTCTCGAGCGGGGCTGGTCTGGCCGAGGGCGACGGAGGAAGGGCAAGGCTTCTGCACCACCAGAGGGGGTGTGTGGGAGGCGCTGAAGCTTTTCGAACTCACTGCTGCTACCCCTACCAATTTTCAATGTAAGTAATAGTGGATTAAAGCTCAATAATGTACATTTTTTCATAAATAGGTGAAAATTAAGTTCAGGTTTTTAAAATAAATGCATGCATATATGTAACAATAACTTTTATATCTAAAAAATAAAATACCTGTATCTATTAAGAACTGTATAGATAATAAAACAAATAAATAAATAAATATATAAATATTCCCACATAATTTTTTCTTGACCATCATCCTTTTAAAGAACCAGCCAGTCATACCTCCGTGTTCCTTCATGCTGCTCGTAATATTCTCTGTCTATCTGCTTCACCATTTCATGCAAGTTGAACTGCATCAACACCTTCAAAAAAACCTGCAGTGTCCTCTCTCGGCCATTTGCAAGGAGGGCGACCAAGTGCCTGACCATGTTGGTTTGGGTCGACTCCATGTGCTGTGAAAAATATAAAATGCATTTTTCCGAGAAATTAAAAGTAACTTAAAGGGACCCATAAAGTGGAGGAAATTAGTCACAGAATTAAGGGACTCTGAATAATTAAAAAAGACCAGTCTGGAAAACAAAAGGGAATTTATCCAAGAAATTAAAAAATTATTTGTCTAGGAAAATAGAGGGAATTTGTCCTTGAGGTTAAAGGGGATTTGTCTGGGCCATTTCAAGGACTTTGTCTGAAAAAAATAAAGGGAGAGGGAGAGGAGAGAACCTGAAGATGAAAATCAGTGTCAAGCTCCTCCTATTGTAGAGTAATATTCCTTCACTATTGCTTTAAATTTATAATACAGGAACCATACTCTTTCTTTAGATTTAACTTAATGTAACAGAAATACCTGCAGTGATACATGTGAATGGATTATTTAATGGATAAAATATACCTCTATCTACAGTAAAACAACTAGCTAATAACACAAGTAATTATAATTCCTTACTTTATATAAATTACTTTTTTATGGCACTGCATAATTCAGATATCTGAATATCATCATTGGGCAAAATATATGGCCAAAAAATTAAAGTGCCAGAAAGCTGTATTTTGTGTTAAGATAAAATATACATGCAATGCTGGAATTTAGGACTAAGAACTCCCTAAAGCAGATGCTATATATTGCAGTTGTCACTCTAGAACAGTCGCAAACATTACAGATACTGAATACGAAAAGGTAATCTGTTTCACACTCACTAATAACATATCTGCATGTTCTGTCGACAGGACTTGGCATTCCCTGAGTTCGTAGACAACATCTTGAGCCTTCCCTGAAGATGCCAGTGTTTTTGCGATGTACTCCTGGTTCTTGGTAAATATGGCTTTATCTCTCTCATCCATATTGTCGCTTTTTTATTTTCAAGTCTGTGGATAAAAGAAAATGAAAAAAAATAGAGTTATAGTGTGGAGGGCAGGCATATTTAAAACTTCACATTGATTCTCCTCCCTCTCTCACTGTTCTTTTAATTCCATTAAATTTCTCCTGTCTGACTTAAATTTGGAACAGATTGCCATCAGAGATTGTAAATTCTCTGACTCTTGATAAATTTAAAAGATCAGCTAACGTGTTTTTCTTACGTAAATAGCAGACTTTCTATTCTTTCATCCTTTCTTAGCTGTATATTGACTTGCACTGACACCTTTTGTGGTATAAATCTCGATTTTTTTAGTGTTGCTCTTTATATAGCTTACTATAATAATAATAATAATAATAATAATGATAATAATAATAATAATAAATCCCTATTTATTTACATTTTTTTCTTATAATCCTTAAAAGCATTTAAAAAGTTAGAACAGGTCTACAATATTTCTGAAATACAACTGATTCCATGATTCCGAGTTTTTCTTTTCTTTTTCTTTTTCTTTTCATCATCCAGTGCTAAGCATATATGCCCTTAAGATACTAGAGGAAATACAGATGACTAAGAAGAGGAAGAGGAAGAGGATGTGTTAATACATGAAAAGACTGACATGAAAGTACAGGTAGAGTGACTGAAAAAGGAAGAGAGAAAGAATAAAGGAAAGAATGATAGAAAGAAAAAGAAAAACAAAAAAAAATCTTACTAAGTTCCTTCTGGATAATGCTAAATGGTAAATGAATGAGAAAAACCGTAAAAATTATCCAAGAAAAACTTAATAGGTATATCTGTCATGATGTAACAGGAAATACATATGACTAAGAACAGGAAGAAGGTACAAAAATATAGATAAGAGGTAATTTTCTTTCTCAATGAATGTCATAGATGCATATTTGGCAAATGCATGAAAATTATTCTTAAACACAGAAAATCAGCATTATAATAAAGATTGACATACATAAAAGATTCTTAAATTGACCAGTTAAGAAATCAGAGTGTATAAGCGTATTTCTTTTATCATCATCACCCACACCTTCAATATCATCATCATTAATACTACAACCATTTCGCTATACACTCCAGTCATTAAAAAAGGCTCATTCCTAACAAGTGACATGCAGATCCTTGACGAACACAAGGAAATCACACAGTTTACAAGGCCACACTGTAGTTATACGAGTCATGCGTTTGTATTCTCCCAACTATATACTGAGAGTCTGTAATTCAACATTCTGCTCAATGGGATTATACTGCCCCATACACAGCACTCTAGTTCAGAAAATCTACCCTAAATCTCTTCTCAGCAACGTTTGTTATTATAAGTACTAATGGAGTTGTGT